ACTTACCTCCTCCTGCTGCTTCCTCCTCTTCCTCATAGGTGCGGAGGTCCTCCTCTCCCGCGAGTATCGCGGGTCCCCCACTTGTGTATGTATAATATACTTTGTAAAATATAAATAAAAATGTAAAAATAAAAAATGTATATCTGAGTGCCCTGACCTGGATGGCCCAGGCTAGCCCGATCTCATCAGATCTCAGAAGCTAAGTGGGGTCAAGCCTGGTCGGTGTTTGGAAGGGAGACCAACAGTGTCCTGGCCCCACTGGTGGACCTCCTGATGGCACCTGGTATTTTTGGCCACTGTGTGACAGCGTGTTGGACTGGATGGGCCTTTGGCCTGATCCAACATTGGCGTCTCTTATGTTCTTATGAGACCACCCAAGAAGTCCAGCTTCGCTTCGCAGAGGCAGGCAATGGCCGACCACCTCTGAACGTCTCTTGCCTTGAAAACCCTACAAGGGCAATTTCGTGATGGACAAAATTGCTGACACTTACGAAAGGCACCCTAATAGCTCATCTAGCACCCACTCGAAACTTGTACGGCATTGTTTTCCAGCTCTCACATATTTTATGGGAAATGACCTCTCGCCAACCAACCCCAATTATTTCGCTCGGTTACATGTTTAAGATTGACAACTTTAGTCTGAGCGCTCCTATTAAACTCTCTAGATCAAGAACAGCAGTATTATGATAAGAATTTAAAACACTTCAGTTTATGAACAATAAGTTTGTGAAGGTTTGCAGTTAACAGTACTGTTGATGTATTTTGCTACTTTCTCTTCTCTGTTATGTACTGAAACATTTTTCTTAATAAAGTTTTGGAAAACTCAAAAACAAAAAACCCTACAGGGGTCACCAATTAGTTGGCTGTGACTTGATGACACACTTACACACACATCCAACTGCAAATCCAGTTGTGTCCCCACAGTTGTGTATTGTGTAGCTACAGCCTCATAAGGATGCCATTTTTCAGCTTCTGAGAGACAATAGTTGTGAAACAAAAAAAACCCAACCAATGCAGCTAATCAGTAGTCGCTCAGGAGGGGTCACTGTAACAAAACAGTTACCTGCAGGGAAAAGTCTGATGAGGACACTGAGACATGGAAATGCTTGCTGTTCTCTCTGACATCAGTTACTCACCTGTACAGAAGAACCTGGAGTCTAGTAATACTAGGCAAGAGGTACTAAGCAGTTCATACCACTTTTCTGCTACCTCCCACAACCCAACTGAAAATGAAAGGGGGGGGGGTGCTTAACACAACCAGCGTTTGAATTTATTAGCTCTCCGTGAACCAAATCCTGGTTTTATGAACTAAAAATAGTTAAAATGAACCATGGTTTCATGTTCACGAGAGTTATGTGCTGTGCAGCAGTTAGAGCCTTGGGCTAGGATTTCAGAGACCCGGATGTGAATCCCCACTCCTGCCACAGAAGCCTGCTGGGTGTCCTTGAGCCAGTCACATGCTTACTTACCTACCTTACAGGGCTGTTGTAAGGATCAGTGCAGAAGAGGAGAACAATGTAAGCTGTGTTAGGTGCCCATTAGGGAGAAAGGTGGAGTTATAAATGAAGTAAGTAAATTAAAATGTCTCAGCTGAGCCCGTAGATGCTTGTGTTAGGGCTGTTGGGCATTGCCCAGCAACCGGTGGGAGCTTTGTGTGGCAGTGACGGGGGAGGGGCACAAGCCACAGTGTTTGCACCATGAAAACACTACCGGGAAAACCCAGAAGGGACTTTTTACCACAGAGTCCCAGCAATTCCTAGAACAACCTGACGCAACTTCTGGGTTCCCCCTGAAAATGACATGGTGCATGCAACAATTCTGTTGTTTCAAATTATTCTCCCGCTGCCAGGAGTGGTGGCATAAAACAGGAGTTGCTGCCAAGGGGCCTGGCAGCCTTAGTCTGTGCCCCCCCCCCGGGTGTAGCTTAAGTCATCAGCTACTGCAAATCAGAGCTTGCCACTTTCTATTTTCCTCTCCCCATAACTGGAGGGAGGCACGGGCAAGAAGAGGATCTGCCACAGTGGTATTCAGACCACATCACGGTCGCTCACCTACCTGTAGAGATGTCAGAAGCAACACACAAACCAAGCACACACCTCTGGGTGTGTGCATACTGCTTCTGGCAATGGCAGCTGACGCATGACTGGTAAGCTCTGGCACCTTCTGCAAGGTGGAAAGGAGGGCCGGGTGGGTCTCTCTGACCCTGCTACCGTTTATGAAAATCAGTACAGTTACAGGATACCACTTCATCTATTACCAGTGCCAGTGAATAGCTATTTGCTTGGGTCATTCAGTTCCCTCGGAGAGAATGGATTTCTGCCACATTTCTATACACGTGTATACTAAAACAGCACTGAAACTGAGAACGAGACTGACTTAGTATAATTGTGGCCCAGGTCTGCTTCCGAATTTATACTACAGCCGGGGCTTCTTTCTCTGTCTGAGGTATAATAACATTTGGTAGCAGGAGTCACAGCCAGATTAATACCAGCTGATGCTGGAAACTACATAGAGAGGGGCCCATAAAATCACACCCCAAATATATATTATCCCACCACTGGACAGACAAAAGGAAATACTGCTTGACACAGGGAGTGATTAAAAGGTAGAATTCACTGCTAGGGTTGCCAATCCCCAGTTGGGGGTGGGGGATCCCCATTTTGGACCCCTCCTCCTCGCTTCAGGGTTACCAGAAAGCAGAAGGGGGGTAATGGCCACTGGGCGCTCCATTATACCCTATGGAGACCAATCCCCATAGGGTATAATGGAGAATTGATCCATGGGTATCTGGGGCTCTGGGGGAGTGTTTTTTTTTTTTTTAAGGCAGAGGCACCAAATTCTCAGCATAGCTGCTGGTGCCTCTCCTCAAACCCCCCCCCCCCAAGTTTCAAAAAGATTGGACCAGGCGGTCCAATTCTATGAGCCGCAAAAGAAGGTGCCCCCATCTACCATTATTTCCAAGGGAGGGAAGGCATTTAAAAGGAACACTGTCCCATTACCTGCGGTGGCAGCTCACCCGGAACTCACTTCAGAGTTCAATCATGCTTCTTCCCTCCCCTCTCCCGGAACATCCTGGTAAGTCCCCCACTGGCTGATCGGCCTCATCTGGCAACCCTACTCACTGCCAGGGGATGTCGTGATAGCCACCGGAATAAATAGCTTTAAAAGAGGATTAGATAGATTCATGGGGGATAAGTCTATCAGTGGCTACCAGCCATGGTGACTGAGGGGAACCTCCACATTCAGAATCCCAGAGCCAAGAGGCAACATGAGGGGAAGGCCTCGGCCTCTCTGCCCTGTTGTTGGACCTTCAGAGGAACTGGTTGGCCACTGGGTGACTGGGTGCTGGACTAGATGGGGCTATTGGTCTGATTCAGCTGGGCTCTTCTTAAGTTCACTGAAACTTAGTCCTGTTTTATATTAAGAGGTCCCCTGTAATCCAAGGCCCTGAACTGTAGCTTATTTGGCAGCGAGAGGCGAGAGGAAGCGGCTTGGAAGAACATGGCGTCGTCTGGTGGACTATGAAAGCAGCGACCGGTCGGAAGAAAGGAGGCGGAGTCGAGACGATGCAATTACGAGGCGTGGCGCGGCTGGAGCCTGACGGACGCATAGCCGACAGCCGCAGCCTGCAGCAATGAGCGTCAACGGGTCTATCAGTGGCTACCAGCCATGGTGACTGAGGGGAACCTCCACATTCAGAATCCCAGAGCCAAGAGGCAACATGAGGGGAAGGCCTCGGCCTCTCTGCCCTGTTGTTGGACCTTCAGAGGAACTGGTTGGCCACTGGGTGACTGGGTGCTGGACTAGATGGGGCTATTGGTCTGATTCAGCAGGGCTCTTCTTAAGTTCACTGAAACTTAGTCCTGTTTTATATTAAGAGGTCCCCTGTAATCCAAGGCCCTGAACTGTAGCTTATTTAGTTTAGACAATAATCCAGCTTTGCCAAGAGCAGAGATGAGAGACAGAGGTGTCATTGGGTGATTCCGCACTAGACCTTATAATCCTGGTTCAACCCTATCCCTGAACTTACATTCTACCCTACACTCGACCTCACCCCTGTAATTATCTCGGGGTATTTTTTGTTTCCACATTACACTGAGGTCACCCCGGTTTCACCCCACACTTGTCCCGGGATAAACGGATGCTGTTATAACCAGGGATAAAAGCAAGGGATTGTGTTGCGAGTTGAACTCTGATAAAACCAGGGATGCGATCCAAGTGTGGAAAGGACCATCCCAAGAAGCAGCATTCCGAGACATAAGAAAGCCAGACTGGTTACACAGTTTTTAGAAATCCACATTTCTCTTGAACACTGATCAGTGACAATGGGAGCATCCGCTCCTCTCACCATAAGGCAGCCAAATGAGTCCCACGAAGCAGTCCTTTACAACCCAGAAACGATGTAGTTCACAAAAAGAATCACTGAAGCAGGCGTATCCTTCCTCCTGCCCTGGCTGCAGCACATACCAACTGTCCTGGCTCCAGGATTGAGTTCATAGGTGCCAGAGAGAGAATGGGGAAATCTCTTCCCGCCTGCTCAGAGTCGCCCATGGCCTAGTCTTGAAAGTGGGGTTAACCCCCATGAGAAGGTGTCCTTCCCTCTCTTGGTTCTTGCCCTAGGTCAGGCGATATGTCCATCTCGTGTCCTAGTCTGGGGCTCTTGCAACATCAGGATTCGAGGTCTCGTGAGAGCTGTAGAAGTTTCTTCTGGTTGTCTATCACCCGCAAGTGCTGGATGTAGGCCCAGGTAGCAGCAGGGCTCCGGGTGCTGAGGGACTGCTCTGAGCCTGAAATGGAAAGAGCCTGATGTCACGGGAGACATCTTTAAATCCCACAATAAATTCCACAAAAATGAAAGATGGATGTGTCATTCACTGTCCTGTATAGTATATCACCTCTGAACCCGATTCTTCCATAGAGATGTTGTGGTTAGCAGCTAGTGGGAAACCAACTAATCTACACATCGGTCTCATATTCTTGTAAAGTTATATTAGGCCTGGAATACACAATAAAGCTTACTCCATTCCAAGTGAGTGATCAGATGAGCTTTCAAAAGGAAGTTGTGGTAGTCAGTACTTTGAAGGGCAACCACAGATGGCTAGATGGTCTCGCTACTTTCTAACATTTGGACTCACCACTCCATAGCCAGCAACCACTGAAAGTGTCATTCCCCAGGAGAATAATGTAAATGTTCAGAATGCCATGAGCCAAAACTGTCACATGAAATCTACGTATCTAATACTCATAGGGTTGCCATTCCCCAGGTCCCAGCAGGGGATCCTCCAATTTGGGGGGGGGGGTTGCCCACTACTGGCCAAGTGGCCGGCAGGAGAAGCCCTGCCCCCAAACAGCAACATCACCATGCGATGTGCCCAACATGGTGACGTCACCCAGAAGTGATGTCATTGCATTGGGGCTGTTGTCTGGCAACGCTCTGGTTTTGGGGCAAAACTGTATGGTCTGATCTCGGTTTTACCATAGAGTTTGGCCACAAATTAAAAGTGTTATCACGCAACGTCCCTGATGTGATAATATCACTTCCGTGTGATGTTAGCATGTCTCATTGCTCCACCCCACTCCCAGAAAGTCCCCCCCCCCCACCGACACAGACTTCAAACCTGGCAACCCTAAATACTCAAGTGTGGGCCAATCTGCAGCTATTTAAATCTGCAGACTGGGCACATGTTGACAGAATGGAGATTTTTCTTCAAACTTAGGGGATCTTCCAGGTTTGCAGAAAAATCTGAAAATATAAACAAACTACCTTGGGGGGGTTTAATCCCTCCAAAACAAAAGTGTTGCCTGTGTATGTGCGGACAACACATCTGCCTCTGTCCACAGAGTCTCGGCGGTGATGTGGGGGTTAGAAGCCACAGCAGGCCTAGCGGGAGAGGCTGGGAGCCATGCCAGGCTTGGTGGCAGCAGCTGCAAAGGTGGTGGAGGTGGTCCGGGACCTGCAACAGGCTTGGTGGTGGAGGCTGGGAGCCGCCCTGGGCTTGGCAGCATTGATGTTGGTAGGGGCTTGGGGGGCAGGAGACATGCCAGGCTCACTGGTGGCAGCTATGAAGGTACAAGGGGTTCAGGAGCCACAGTGGGCCCAGTGTCAGAGACCAGGAGCTGTGCTGGGCACCCCGGCATTGATGTTGCGGAGGCAGAAGCCACACTGGACTTGCCACTGGCAGCTGCGTGTGTGGAAAGGTTCTGAGAGCCATCGCGGGGCCAGCAGTGAAGGCCGGGGGCCACACTGGACTTGCCAGCACCAAAGCTGGGGAGTGGGGGCGACAGGAGCACAGCAAGCTCGGTGGCCATGATACTTAGAGGGGGATCAGCTTTCATTTAATTTAAAGCAGTAGCCATGATAGGCTGATGGCAGTGTAAAAAAGGTAAAGGTTCCCTTGCTCGAAAGCCAGTCGAATTCGACTCTAGGGTTGCGGTGCTCATCTCCGTTTCAAAGCCGAAGAGCCAGCGCTGTCCGAAGACGTTTCCGTGGCCATGTGGCCGGCATGACTCAACACCAAGGCACACGGAACGCTGTTACCTTCCCACCGAAGTGGTACCTATTTATCTACTTGCAATTTCTTGCTTTCGAACTGCTAGGTTGGCAGGAGCTGGAGCTAGAGACGGGAGCTCACTCCGTCATGCGGCAACACGGGTCTCGAACTGCTGAACTGCCGACCTTCCACAGCCTGCAGTTCAGCGTCTTAACCACTTGAGCCACCGCACCTCCTGATGGCAGTGACAGGGGTGTAATTAAAGCTAAGAGGGGGAAGGGATTCCCCCTGCAAGAATTGTGGGTCCCCAACTGTTACCACAGAATTCTTGAGAAGGAGGCCTGAGGCACTAACCGAACATGGTAAATACCCATGGTAATTCTCTTAAACATGAAAACAGGAAAATAGAAATCTTCTGACAATGGCTGTTATCATCTAGACTATACCTTAGGTACTGGCCTAAGCTAATGGTGAACTAACAAAATAAAGGCTTTCGCATCAGTGCTGAAACGATCGGCAATCGATCTCATTGGGCAACAGTATATCACATGGCCTGTTCTTTCCCTCCACACCCCTCTAGGCTGCCTCAGGATTTGACTTGGTGTTAGGAAGCGGCATCCTGTTCTCCAGCACGTTTGATTGAGTAGGAGGTCTTCTGTGTGCTTACAAGTAGAGGCGCGCATGGCCCGAGCTTCTTCCAGGAGGTGCTGAGGACGACTCCGCAAGGGGGACAGGGGAACTATGACAGTGGGAAGAAAAATGCAGAGGCTCGTCGTTAAGGAGTGAGGCGTTTCCTAACCAGTGTTCCCTCTAAGCTGAGTGAGTGTGAGCCAGCTCACAGTTTTTTAGCTTCTGACTCACACATCTTTGTCTTTGCCCAGGAAGGAATGGCTCCAGAGTAAACTCACTGATGCAGCAGCCAAATCGCTCGCTCACAACTTCAATGCCAGGAGCTCGCAAAGTAGGATTTCTGCTCACAGACTCCACAGTTTAGAGGGAGCACTGTTGCTAACCCACACCTCCAAACCCCCCAATTTCTGTTACCTACACAGTAATTCTTTCCGTGTTTCTCTGCACTATCTATGAGCTTTCCATTCCTCTTAGACATAGCCTCCTCTGACCATTCACACTAGAAATACGGCGTGTTTCTTTATTCTTCTCATCTCTCTCTCCTTCCTTACCCCCTGAAAACCTTAAAGTAAACGGCATCACAATGAGCCCAACTTAATATATATTTCTAACAAACGGCTCAAGACTTAACAATTAAGTGAGCCTGTCTATCATGCTTTCAACCCACTTCTCCTCCAAGGAGTTCAGGAAAGCACGTTTGGTCCTTGCCTCCTCCATTTTATCCTCACAACAGGCTGCAAGGGGACAACCGGACCAGGGGTCAGCCATTGAGCTTGATGGGTGTGGAGGTAATTTGAACTCGGGTCTCCCTGGTCTTAGTCCAACACTCTAACTCCTGCGTCCACACAGGCCAGGCATTTTGAACATGAGTCAATGCATGCAAGAGAAGCAGAAGGGCATACGGGGTCCTTATGGAAGAGGAAGGCCATTCTACCTGAAGGTCTTGCTGGGGCCACTACCTTTGACTGACATGTGTCGCTATTATTCTATTTCTACCAATGCCTCTTCCCCTCCAGCTTTCCTTCACTCACGGTGGGGGTGGCTCCGGCAGCGATGCACGAGACGAACAGCCTTGGCCATCATGCGCTGTTGCGGAGAAGACACCGAGTTACATTTACGGTTTCCGATTTACTCATTTATTTATTTAGCTGCCTTTCCGCCTCGTGGAACTTGAGGCAACTTACAGTTATAAATAAAACGGCCATGATTTTTTTTTTTTTTTTAAAAAACACAATTAAAAATAGAAATAAAACAGCAACAATAAAAACACACAGAACACCGCAATTTAAAATATCCAATTAGGACTGCCAATGATTTTTTTTTTAAAAAGTTAGTCAAAGGCTGTCCCAAATTAAACTGTCTTCAACTGTCTCCTGAAGATCGGGAGTGAGTGAGATGGCCAGGCGCACCTCTCCGGGGAGGTTGTTCCATAATGGTGGGGCTGCCACCGAAAAGGCCCCCTTCTCATGATTCTCCCAATATTTGTACCCCAAAAGGCCAACAGGGTCTTCCCATTCAGAAAGCCCCACTGGGTGAATTAGAAACTAACACATTCCGTTGCTTCCAATGTCTCCAGCTTAACTGTTACATTACAAGAAAGTGCTTTTACTGCGAACTTGCATTTACCTAAATTGTGATAAAAAAACAAGTTGCTGCCTAAGATCTAGGAACAGCTGTTGGCTCTCTGAATACGGTTTTGGTAATGGAGTCAAGCTCAAGTGGGGGGGTGGGGGTGGAATCCTGAGAGTTCCAATTGCTGGGGACGTGCAGCTTAATATTTTGCATGAATTAAACAGAAAATCATTATAAACTGCTTTATGGAGTCCATGGCACATCTCATAAACTTTCCACATTGCAGATGCTCTTCACCTACATAGCGGAGTTGCCCCCAAATACCACTTTTTTTGGTAAAATAAATAAAATAAAAAAATAAAATTGGTGCATATTATACTTCCTATAGATCCATTAGTTATATTGCTTAGGGTTGTTTTTTTAAAATATAAGGACTATTACCTCAAGGTATTATATTAGTCAACAGCTTATTAGTCAACAGCTACATTAGTCAACAGCTTATTAACAGCTAGTAAAGGTAAAGGATCCCTTGCTTGAAAGCCATTCGAGTCCGACTCTAGGGTTGCGGTGCTCATCTCCGTTTCAAAGCCGAAGAGCCAGCGCTGTCCGAAGACGTTTCCGTGGTCATGTGGCCGGCATGACTAAACACCAAGGCGCACGGAACGCTGTTACCTTCCCACCAAAGTGGTACCTATTTATCTACTTGCAATTTCTTGCTTTCGAACTGCTAGGTTGGCAGGAGCTGGAACTAGAGACGGGAGCTCACTCCGTCATGCAGCACTCGGGTCTCGAACTGCTGAACTACTGACCTTCCACAGCCTGCAGTTCAGCGTCTTAACCACTTGAGCCACCACAGCTCCTCTTATTAACAGCCATTAACTTATTAACTAAGCCATTAATAGCTGGCAACAATCTTAGTCATCACCTATTAAGAACGGTTGCTAGTGAAAATGTGGAAAATAGCGGAGATCAGCAAGCTTCCAGAGCGTGGGCTTCTTAGCAGAAGGAAAAGACATGATGATGCATTTTACATTACCTGGCGGCCGCTACACATTTTTTGAAATGATATTGTGATTAAAACAGTTTTTATGGTATATGTTGGCTTGATATGATCCTATGGGGGTTGCAGCTATTTACCACTCTCTGCAGGGTATTTTTTATCAGTGGAGGCGGAGGGGTGATTTTTCCCATTCCCCTTTCCCACGGCAGGCCAGCACTTTGGATCCCAGGCTCTGTGAGAGGGTCCCTTGACTCCCAGAGGCAGAATTTCAGTGGGCTACAGTGGGAGGTTGGAAGCAGGAGGTTTTGCTCCGCCACAGATTTTGCTCCGCTTGATGTTCTCTGCATCGATCCCATTATGCATTTATGCATTTAGATACTTCTATGGAATTTCTGTGCCCTGGCCTGGGCTAGCCCGATCTCATCAGATCTTGGAAACTAAGCAGAGTCGGTCCTGCTTAGTACTTAGATGGGAGCACTGACTCTAATCTGGGAGAACCGGGTTTGATTCCCCACTCCCCCATATGCAGCTGCTGGCGTGGCCTTCGGTCAGTCACAGTTCTCTCACAGCTATTCTGGAAACAGCAGTCCTCAAAAGAACTCTCTCAGCCCCACCTGCCTCACAGGGTGTTTGTTGTGGGGAGATTGTAAGCCGCTCTGAGACTCCTTTGGGTACTGAAGGGCGGGGTATAAATCCAATCTCTTCTTCTTCTCTTCTTCATTATGCAAAGGCCGGCAATCGCAACAAACCACCTCTGAATGTCTCTTGCCTTAAAAACCCCATGGGGTCACCCTTAATCAGCTGTGACTTGGCAGAACGTTCCACTACCACCATGGAATTTCCTTGCCTTGTCATTTCTATGTTTATCTCTTTTTCTCCAGTTAAAAATAAAAGAGTTCCACAGGTTTATCCAAAACCTCTCAACCCCTAGACGGCTTGACGCATTAGTTCCTCCAACAGGTATAAGTGTGTGAGTGTGGGGGGGAATTGTATCTCAAATGGACATGGGTTGTTCTTGCCAAAAGTATGGCAAGGCAGGGCTGCCCTCCTTCCTTTCCCTCACCATCCCTCACCACTTACCAGCTTCTCGAAATTGACAAGGTTCTCCACCAACGTGCGATTTCCCTCGTGAATGAAGGTCATGTCTGTAAGGTAAAGGTAAACTCTGAGCTTTTCCATCATTCCTGAGAGGCCACCAGCATAGTCCAGCAGATAAAGAGCTGGGTCAGGTCTAGGCTCCCGCAGTCTATCTTTGCCATGGGCAAGCCATGCCATGAGCATGAGTAACAGTTGGTCTTACTGCCCAGGCCAGCGCGATCTCATCAGATCT